AAAGAAGTAGAAACAGAAAATAACATATGAAAAAATGTTCAACTTATGAAATATATTTTATTGCATTTATAAACTTAAAAATCCAGCAAGGATGGCACTACAAAGAAATAACATCTACTAATTCATTTAAAATATTTGCAAACATTCTAAATTTAAATATATTCAAAATAGTCTTAGAAAAGTTCAGTACATCATGAAATATTAATTTTTTCCTGATAAGTACTATGTATTATTAATTGAATTTCTAATCTTTATGAGTACTGACAAAATTATGAATTTAATTCAAACTAAATTAGTTTCACCACATATTGGTTACAAATTAAGAGTAATTTAGAAATCTACAAACCCATTTTTATATGTTCTAAAGTATAGACTCAAAAATAATAAACATATAATAATTGATGTAAATCCTTGTATTGATCACTGAAAATATAAGTAATAGAAAGAAGTCTTTGGTCATTTTTGAAATAAAGCACCATATTAGCAATGTAAGGAAAAGCATAAAAAACCTACATCAATAGAATAAAGAAGAAAAATATATGATTACCATATCATATGGACTACAAATCCAAGAGATTCAACAAGGACAATTATAGAGATAAAAAATTTGACCATCTGATTCAACAAGCACCTCTTTCCTTACAAAATATTTAGTACATATTTTATAGATAAAACTATGTTTACATTATCAACAAATCCTAAAATTATGCAAGAATAAATAGAAGAAAAATATTCCACATGATATTTATGTGTATATGTAGTAAATACAAAACAAACAGACATATGGACATATTTCACATTGAAAAAGAATGTTTAAACAAGATAAGTAGAAATATTTAACTGACAGAACACTAATCATCTCTACATTTAACACATAAATTCAATTTAACCCGTAAATTCAATTCGGTGCCATTTTAAATTCAAGACTATTTGTTATCACATGTGATCAGACAATCCTAGGATTCTACAGACAACAAGAAAGAGAATTTCTGCAAAAATAGCTTCAGAAGAATTTTCAGGCATGGGTGAGCAAGGAAATACAAAACCATTTATCAAAATAAAATATAAACAGCATAGTTAAGGCATGGTAATTGTTGAAGTGGAAAAATTTAATGAAATACATGAGGGAATTCAGAAATATGCTGACCTACAGACAAAAGTTACCATATTAACAGTGAGTAAAAATAATCAAGGAGGTCAACTGTTGCACAAGATGAAAAGTGTAACAGAAATGAAACAAGCAAAAATACAAGGATTTATTAATGATTTTATGAGAGGAACAAAAAAATTTCAGACTACTATTCAAAATGAAAAAGTTGGCTGGAGATTTAGCTCAGTGGTTTCGCTGCCTGCTGCACAAGCACAAGGACCCAAGTTCGATCCCCAGTACCAAAATAAAGAAAAAGAAAAAGTTATTGTTAACAATTGTTAGTGACTCTTTGAAAGAAATGAGACCCTTGATAATGGAAGTAAATTCCACGCTGTAATGTAATTTGTAACTGAAAATAATAGTATAGATTTTGCTCCAGCCTAATTACATATT